CATCATCAATAACCAGTAACTGTTCCCTGTTGGACTATGAACGGTCCTATACACAGAATATCTTCTTTATATGTTCTGTGGTCCTATACAATCTCTACTAACGAGAGCAGTTTAAAAAGTTTATCCGAGGGCGCTGCTGTGCAGTGTCTTGCAGAGGTAAATAATATGAATTGCAATGAGGAGGAGTTTAAAAAGTCTAGATTATTTAGAACACTGTCTTTTAATCAGTCCAATCCAAACCATATAATTAAATGCATTGATTTATAACTTGGTCTACCATTTTAGCAAATAGCTTCACTAGAGGACTAACCGATAGACTGTCATTTTTTTAATATCTTGTTTTGACATTCAAAAGTGAAGTAAATGACTTTCGACTTATAAGGCTTGATAATCAAAATTGGAGCTTATCGTGGTCATGGCAGTGCAGTTACTTAAAATTACTACCTACCAACATAATAGAGACCTATTCCATCTAAAACAACTGTAGTACCTACATTGCTTGAAAAAGCGCAGAAATATTTTATCAAATGCGGTTCACTGAAATTATTTTCGTTTATTATTTTAATTAGTCTACCCCTTAGGTAAATAAAGCGTGATAATTATTTATGTAGTACCTACGTAACTTGACAAACCACAGAAACATTTTATAAAATGTGGTTTATAGGATATTATGTTTAATTCATGACGTATTATGAAACACTGTTTTTAATAAGTATGTGGTAAAAGTACATCACAGGTCGTACCCAGCCAGCAGATCTGGAACCCGCATTGAAGGAAGCCTATGTCCATGTTGAACAAAGGCCATATTGTGTCTGGTATAATGATTAGAATGGTATGAATAATATTGATCATCGTTCTAAGGTTGTTCACCTTTGTTGAAAAACAATACTTAAAGTATATACATATTGCCTAAGTTACCTTAGTATAATATGGTAGATGCCTAATTTTTATTTTAATGTCCGTCAGCGAGATTACTTTATAATATTTGACACGTATTTTATTTTTTTCTTACAGAAACGAATACTTTCGACGATATATTGATATGAAATGTCGCGTGATGTCACTTCTATGTACATTTTATACATAGAAATGACGTTTTAGCCCCCACTCCTAAACTTTGATTCGTTTTATCTAAGTATTGTTTTAATATACGACAAAATAAAATAAATAGGTAGGTGTCTAATATTTTTTCATTCCCTAACTTACAGACTTATTCGATTTTTAATTTTCATACCCTGTCATCATCCCAATTACCTTTCCAGCCAAAAATAAACCTTTTACCCACATATTATTAAAGTAGAAAACACATCAACATCACATTTTCATTCACAACGTTGCGGTAAATATACCTAAATAAAAGCAGTTTGATGTCGGTAAAGTAACATAATAATTATAGACTTTATTTACAAGGTACGAGTGTGTATTATCGTTTGCCTGCTTAGTTGCTATTTATTAAAAGTTAACAATAAGCTGAAATAGCGAGGAACATGAACGAAACATGTAACCTCGTTAACAATACACATACCTATTTACTAGGGCAACACTGTCATGGGAATATTTCGAAAATACGTTATAGTTACCTACATAAGTACTAAGATACCTAAAACCACTAATTATAGCAAAATATTACACAACCACTATAAAAATTACATCTCAAATTCCTAATCCCCAAAAGGCCGGTAACGCAAAGCCTCTAGTGTTTCTGGTGTCTATGGGCGGCGCCGACTGCTTACCATCAGGTGATCCGTCTGCTCGTTTACCAGCAGACAAATCAATACATAGTATAAAACAAAGTCGCTTTCGCTGTATGTCCGTATGTATGCTTAGATCTTTAAAACTACGCAACGGATTTTGATGCGGTTTTTTTTAATAGATAGAGTGATTCTTAAGGAAGGTTTGTATGTATAATACATGCATATTGCACCCGTGCGAAGCCGGGGCGGGTCGCTAGTAACTAATAAAAAATAAATGCGTATGTACCAGGTTTAATACACCTGCGAGCAGAGCAGAGGTGGTAACAAATTTAGCTGGTCTTCTCTACCATTATCCCCAAGATCCTTTGGATAATCGAATCATTGCTAATAAGCTAAATTATGACATTCAAACTTTCTTAAGAAGTCATCGATAGCACAAATTAATATATTACCATTGTTTTCAAGTTATAAAGTTGTTTACAGGGACCCTTACAGACAGGTACTCGTAGATTAGAATTTCACACGCCCTTAATGAAAGAACTGGAGCGTGAAAATTAGCAATAACCGCAGGAAGCCGCCTGTAAAATAATTCCCTCTATAAACGACTCAGGACGTTCAATAAAGATTTTTTCTAATAACAATTAAAGAATAATATAATTAACACAGTTCCAAAAGACTTCGTAAGAATCGTTTAAAAATTCATTGTTTATTCGTAAGAGTTCTTAAGAAAATCAATAGTTCGTTTCGCTTCTAAAAGATGTGTGAAATATTGAAACTTTTCGTAGAACCTGCTACGGTTTACTACGAAAATCTACGATTTGTAGTTGCTACGAAATATCGTAGATTCTCGTAGCACTATTTATGGATACAAAACTATCATACTGTTTATCCCACAGCACAAAAGTTTCACAAAGCAATTGCCTAAAACCTAACATATATATTGCCTACCATGATACGATAGTACGATAAAATGACTCGTTGGCCGAGTCGGTCGCAAGTACGCCTCCCGGGCGAAGGGTCTCGGGTTCGATTCCCGGGACAGGCAAAGTATTACTGAGTTTTAAAAAATTCTCAGTAGTCTGGAATTGTGTCCGGTATATGGCAATAGACTCACACTATTACATGGGACTCGCAACATAAATAGTAAAAAGTGGGTGTTACATTGTAAAGTGGCACAATGTGCACTTCTGCCTACCCCTACGGGAATAAAACGCGTGATATTATGTTAAGATAAAATGGTATTATACCTACCATTTTAGAAATACAACGTTCTAAAAAATTTATTATCGGCTAGACAAAAGCCTCAAGCTCGCTACTGCGCTCAATTTCAGCTCGTCATACCAAACCACTGATAACCACACATCGAATCAAGTCAATAATAAATATATAGGTAGTATTCTGAATTTCGTAAACAGGAGCTACGAAATACCCACACATGCACAAGCAAAATTCGTCTACATGTCGAGTAAAACAAGATTGTTTGGAGAGATACTTGAAACTCGCCCCTATGTTGTCCAGAGAACAAACACTACGTACTATGTAGTATATGACTGTATGTATATCTAAGCTAAAAGGCTTGCCCACTCGTTCTCGTTCTCGTTGAAACACATGAAATTAGACAGGTCATGTGAAGCTGCTATGCAACACAGATTAAGCTGACAATCTGCTCAGCTAATTGGTTGACTTAATCCTTTGTTCTTCCTTTCTGAAACAGGTTTTCGGTAAAACCTAGTGCAGACCCCAGTTACATGTGTATAATATAATTTAATTTTAATTTTAATACTTTAATTTTATAAATCTCGTTGCCCCACACTAGAATTATTTTCTCCCGTGTCGTGAGTGCGTTTACAAACATACAACTTCTAATATACATGACACCCAGGCCCGGAAAACAATCTGTGAATCACACAAAGAGTTGCTCCGTGAGGGAATGGAACCCGCGACAAGTTGCGCGACAGTCAGTTGCCCAATCACCGCACCAACCGTGCAGTCAAATAAGAATCTTATTAAAATGTACAGTTGATAGAAGTAACATTCTGTAAATACCCTAACTAATATGGTAGTCTTTTTCCTAGACGTCTTTTGTTATCTTTGTTATCTCTCCTAATTTATATAGACTATGCTTTTAATCATCGTAATGTTTCATGCTTAATTATGAGCCAAATCAATTTACCTAAAATCACGATACACAGTCAGCTTCCATTATCACACTATTCTGCTTTGTTTTAACAATATTTTACTAACAGACATCGTCTATCTCAATATTACAGACTTGGTTCGTCCTCAAAGGTAAAGTATGAGCGTTAGCACTCACATTATGGCTGCCAAACGTCGTGGAACGCGTTTACAACGTCACGCCTGATGAAAGATCGCTGTGAGTGCCTCTGCTGGCGAGGAATTGATGCAAGGTCGACGGAAACCAAGATTTACTAACGACCAGGTTCACTAAACTGTAGTTTTGCTAATACCTTGAGCAAAATGGGTCAAAATTGTATAACTAATAAGTAAATCTAGATCATTATAGATGGGTTCTTACTGGCTTTATATAGTAAAAACGTTTTAAGAACCAATTAAAAGAAACCGTTAAAATCTCCTTGAGAAACTTCTAAATGCTACCTTCATTTTATCCCTCAGAGACTTTTAGATTTTTAAATAATGAAATCTAATTCAAGATTTTTTCGGCTGAGTTCCGTACCCGCAGTTACAAAAGAGCAAAATTTTATAATGACAAGTTTACAATTTCAAAGGCTCGATAATTTAACCCTTATAAGTATTGAAGGTTAATGTTAAGTTACCCTTAAATCTAATCTTCATCAAAAATTTTTTAACTACCAGCATCTATATTTTACGTCATAAGTATTCCTATGTCATGTCTCATGTCTTATCATGTCAGAGATGAAGATTTATAGATATCAGTAAATGCTCATTAACTTCTCCCACATGGACAACCGACGACAATAAATAAATAAACCACAAGACTTGCCTTCTACTTACAACTACCCTACTCCTGCGACCCAATTCATCCTTAATTGAATCGACTTCAACCGGCCTTCAGAGAAATTGCCTGTTAGAGCTCTCACTTAAGTTTTTTCAGTTGAAATACACTAAAAGCAACGATTATTTCGGTTCACGAACGCTTCAAAGGTTACGAACGAAACCGGCGAGTCAGACTTGATTCTGCCATCTTTACAATTAAAATAAATTGGTTCGGAGTTATTATATTGAAGTTTAGGTGTCGTTGTCACGTCACTCACGACATCAAGGTTAATCAAACTCAGATCAAAACGCAATGCAGTAAATACTTACGTAAGTTTGCTAAATGCGGATGTCCACAAAACATACACTAACACACGCCGAAAATATAATTATATAAACAATAAAACACTGGCCGAAACTTAAACACTAAAAACTATTTGCAACAATCATAAACGAAAACTAAAATGGAACACAAGTCGAAATTCGAATTGTTTTGAATATTGCACTAGTTTGAGAAAGATCGCGGTGTTTTCGCAGCAGAGGCGGCGAGCGACAGGCAGCCCCAGTGCGGGTAAAACGCGAACTGAAGATTGTTTCCACGAGGGACGCGGGTATTGGGGTGAAAATAGGGTGAAGCGGGGGCGTACCGCCGACCCGACTTGAATGGACGCGCCGGCTACGCAACGCATGACGGTTTTCCGTCCGACGATCACAGAAACGTTCCCCCGACGTTTCGCAATGAATGTTTCTCTAATTATTACGGGTTGGTATTTTGAATGTTTTCTTCTTGGCCAACAGCGGGAATGTCGGAGATAACAATAATGACTTTGAGACTTGAGAAGCGTAAAATAACAAACTTTAGAACATGGGTAGGTACGTTTAATAAGTTTAGCCTGTGGAAAATAGGCATGTAGCCTTAAATAGGGCGTAAGCTAAATGTATTTCACTTCAGAAATATTTGTGCCACCAACCTTTCGGAAGCTGGTGAATTTACCTACCCGTATACGATATTAAGTTTATGTTTCGCAAAATAGGACACTTCCTTTGAAGATGGAATTATCAGAACATCCATTCAAAGACGTAATCTTCTAAGGAAATGTAAATAAACGTTGAATGATAAATGAACTTAGTGAACTTTGTTAATTAAGTACATTTAGAACGTAGGCACATGTTTCCTAGCACCCACGTTAACAAAATTTGGTAGTCATGTGAACATTAAGGTCAGGGCTCGGCTCGGCGCGCTCCGCAGACAAACATTGCTGACAGGCTGTCGCGACTAATGTTCTACTCAACGCGTTATTGCGTTGGAAGATGTAATCAAAATGATAAGTTGTACTTTAAATTTTCTGAAATATCCACGTCTCTTTTCTCGTTAGCTTTAAATAGAGGAAATGGCAGCTTTGAAACTCTGCTAAGTTTTTGTTTTCTATTTATTTTCGGTTATCTATGTTATGTTTATGCTCAATAACGAAAAGGTCAGACGTATCTAATTTCGTCTTATTTTTGTTGATATCTGTGTTTACATTATAGTCATGTAATTGCTTGTTCAATCTTTATCACGTAGCTTTTACTACGTACAAAGTTATCACGCAATAAATAATATGACAAAATCGGAGTCCCTACCCGAGTAACAATAACCATATATGTAGTTAAAAAACTTCAAAATGTGATTAAACTTCGCCTTCTAATTAAGTTAAAAGCACGTTCTGACTTTGACTCCCATGAAACAATTCACGCCAATCTAAAAAATAAAAACAAAAGGGATCATGTGGCGCCATTAATTACACACTTTAAAAAATAATTCCCGCCAAATATTTACTAGAGAGGTGACGTTAGAGGGGCCAAAGAGCAGTATTCAAATGAATTAAAATCGATAATGAGTAGGGTAAAGATGCCTAATATGAGATAGGCGCTAAATATGAGATAGGAAGATATTGGTCAAACTACTCACGTCAGTCATTTGGCGCTAGTGTGGCTCAGATTGACACATCAACAGTGCTAAACGTCTGTCAGTTCGCGCCGGCTAACGGCAATGTAAGAACGTGTGCGTGTTGGTTATTTCAACATCGTAAAACCAAATATTTTTCATCAAATGTTTACAAGGTACGTAACAACTTTATTATTACGTTAAACGCATTTAATTTATGTTTTGTTTGTAGCTTATATGGTAAATTTTAAGTTATGAATGCAGTTAAATTGTATTTTCTTTTGGAAACAAAAAAAAAGGCAGCCATTTTCTAAAACTGTTGTTTTCCTAATATGAGATATGCTAGGGTTCCTAAATTGAGATATCTCATATTATGGTACACAAAAAGAACAATTATCATGGGTGTTGGGTTAAACCGTATATTTTTTTATTTTAGATGCCTCCCATCAAAAGAAAGACCTGGGACCACGCTGCCATGATACAGGCTGTGAATGCAGTACGAAGAAAAGAAATGGGTTACTTAAGAGCAGCGAAACAATTTGGTGTTCCTAAGGGTACCCTTGAGCGCTATGTGAAAAAGGATGTCCGCGCAGAAGATCTTGTCCAGGTTCGTATGGGAAGACGGCCAGCCTTGCCTATTGATTTAGAAGCCGAGCTGGAAAGGTATTGCAAAGAAATGGATAGAAGATTTTATGGCTTACGTCTGCAGGACATTAAATACATGGCGTTTCAATTGGCAATTAAAAATAATTTGAGGCATCCTTTCAGTGTTACTAAAGCTTCTGCTGGTAAAAAATGGCTTCGTGGATTTTTGAGGAGACATCCTACATTATCTATTAGGACACCTGAAGCAGTTTCTGCTGCTAGAGTAAAAGGATTTAATCCAGTTGCAGTCGCCAACTTTTTTGATTTGTACGAGCCTGAACTTGATAAGATAAAATCCGCTCCACATAGGGTATACAACGTTGACGAGACAGGAATAACAGTAGTTCAACATAAACGTTCCAAAGTTGTCAGTATGAAAGGCAAAAAACAGGTCGGTGCGTTGACATCTCTGGAAAGAGGAAAGCTCATGACCATAGTGACCTGTATGAACGCTTGTGGTACCTACGTGCCTCCATTAATAGTTTTCCCAAGGAAAAATATGGCTCAAGACCTAATGGATGGTGCACCAGCAGGTTCCATTGGCGATTGTCATCCGTCAGGCTGGATCCAGACACACCTATTCACAAAGTGGTTTCAGCATTTTATCAACTTTACAAAGCCAAGTAAAGATGATCCAGTTTTATTGGTTTTAGATGGCCACTACACACACACGAGAAATATCGATCTTATTAATTTAGCTCGAGACAACAACGTAATTATAGTTTGTTTACCGCCACACTGCACTCATAGAATGCAACCAATGGATGTAGCATTTATGAAGCCACTAAAAGCTTACTACTCCCAAGAAATTGAAACTTGGCTGCGTAATAATTCGGGGCGCACTCTAACAAACAAATATGTGGCTAGATTGTTTGGTGCGGCTTATGAAAAAGCTGCTACCATGACCAACTCCGTTAACGGTTTTCGCAAAGCTGGGTTATTTCCGTGCAATCGACATATTTTTACAGACGAAGAGTTTTCAATCTTTAATGATGGGGATGAAGAGCAAGATTTACTTAATGTTCAGAGAAATGACGAGAACGCAGATCTGGAAGATACTAGTTATGTGCTTACTTCGATTGAAAACCAATCAGAGCCAACTGAAATCTTACCCAATAGCGGAATTACAAATGACAATCCTTCAGATGAGTACCAAGGATTAGCATCTTCTAAAACAGCCTCAACAGCTAGTGTTTATGACAATCCAGTACCCAGTACATCGTCTTCTGTCTCCCCGTTTGCACTTAAGCCAGTGCCCAGGCTACCTAAGAACAATTCTTCTTCTAAGAAAACCCGAACTGGAGCAGCTTCTATAATCACGGCATCTCCGTATAAGAAGTCATTAGAAGAATCCCTAAATAAAAAACAAGAAAAAGAAAATAAGAAAGGACAGAAGAAACAATCAGTTAAAAAACAGCAGACAATGAAAAAAAAACCTATTAAAAAGAAAAAAGCTGAAGAAGTTAGTTCCAGTTCCGAAGACGATGACATGCCTGAGCTGGCAGATAGCAGTGGGGATGAATATGATGCTGAATGTCCCTACTGTAGCGGTAACTTTTCGCAGGATACAAGAGGAGAAAAATGGGCCAAATGTGATAGTTGTTTTAAATGGGCTCATGAAGATTGTGGAGATGTAGCATCGAATCGTTTTTTGTGTTCATTATGTTTAGATGTGTAAGACATGGTAAGACTAAAAAATAATTTAGAAAAGATTTTAATTTTTTTATTGTTTATTATATTCTCTTTGTTTGATAACCTTTATTTTAAAATTTTATTAAAAATGCTAATTTTTATTATGATAACTGAGTTCTGCTCAAATCTTTGTTATGTTTAAGTAAAGTAAAAATTTTGAAGACTGATGTTAGTCTAAAATTTAATAATTAATGTACCAAACTGCTAAGACTGATTTGTCTTAATATTTAATTAATAAGTTACCTACAATAAAAATGTGATTATGACGTTAATATTGTTTTTTTTTGTTTGTTGACCCCTAAAATTTATGGAACCTAATATAAGATAGTATCTTATATTTAGAACCCCTAATATCTCATAATAGGCGCCCTTTGCCTTGGAATTTTTTTCTGATATTTTTCACTTTTTACAGCATAGCCAAAAAATAATATAATTTAGCCTAAAATAGCTAATATACATTTAAAGTACATTAAATTTTCTATCTAAAAGTATATCTTAGAAAGCTTTAAATGTAACAGTTTTTTTTATACCCAAAAATGGAAATGGTATCTCATATTAGGCATCTTTACCCTACTCCACTAAATCTAGACGGCGCGTCGCGCCGCGTCAGGGGTTGTGCACCACAGATAGCGAGGGGTGCAACACCCTCGTAAATTGCGCCCTCTTACTAGATTAGGTGCTTTGTTTCCCATTCTAAATACAACAAGTGTACGGAGGCTACCTATAGAAACTACCTAGCCGCGCAAATATTTGATGTTATCTACTGAACTGTGAATTTCCTTACAAATATTCTGCTGCATTCATGTTTGCTTGGATCGAAAATATAATGCTTTAGATAATAGGTACTCTATGCTTTTTTGTTTTAGTTTCATTTTAATCATTGCAAGTACATCTACTGTATTTCTATTTTTAAGTTGTTCAGATTTCAAGTGTGACCAAGTGTATTATCAAGTGTCGTGCACTAGGAGTGTCGGTCTATCGGCTATATCCCTAACAAAAAAGTCTTTTGTTACAAAAACTAGGTTTTTTTTCTAGTCTAGTGTAGGTCTACTACTTCGTTATTTTTCAGGAACATACACACTACTTACTTTACTTACTGTACTTTCCTTTGAGTACTTTTTTATCCGATCAAATCTACCGAAAGATAGAATATAATGATGATGAGATGACTATTGGCCGAAGCGAGATCATTTTATGTTAAGCACCATCTATCGGTAAACTACACGCAACTATAGAAGTCCTAAGTTTTATGCAGGTAATAGGTGTCTCTTCTCTTCACAATAGAAATGCTTTCTTTGACAAAACAACCGATATTTATCGATATTAAAAGAATGAACATGGTGTTCAATGGTATTGTTATAATAGTATTGAAGAAGGGCAGAAGCATTTAAACTGATCACTGCGCTGCTGTGTAAGGTACCTAAGTTGAAATAATAATAAATATAATACCTAAGTAGGTACCTATAAGTTGTAAAGCCTAAGTCAACTAGACTCAAATACTTAAGACTGCTCTAGGACCGAACCCTAGAAAGCTATGAAGATATCAGATAACTATTCACATAGGTGCTATGAAATCGAATAGTTCTACAATGGTTCTACACCACTACCACGCACTACCTGCACCTCTAACGAAAAAAACTACCCTTCCTTACAAAAAATCGAAACGGAGCAACTGTAAACGCAATTTTAATTTTAAACGCAGCGAAACTATCGTTTTGTATCATTTCCAAGCACCAGATTTTGTAATCCTGGTTTAGAATTATTAATATGAAGTAGGTATGTCTAAAAATTACTACAGATATTTAAGGAGAAAAAAATATTCACAAAAACGTTTACCTACCTCTCAAAGATGATGCATACACGTTTAGTTATTGCTAAAAAAAGTGTACCAAACTTGAAATGTTGCATGATCGTGTAGACATTTCAAACTTAAAATTAAAATAATTACGGAAAATCACATTGTAACTGTCACATCATAAGTTTTATCATGTAATTATAATGAACTTTAAATTAAATTACATTCTATTAAACGTAATCATTTTTCCAATAGGAATATACCAAGCTTGCAAAGTTTGTGTAGTAACTAAACGTTTACTTCGTTATGAGTTTTCTCAGCCGCTGTGTCTGCTGTTTGGTTTAACAATTTATTATATTTTAGTAAGAAAACATGTGTTAATAGTTGTTATTTCCACCTAAAACTGATTCTGGATATATTTCTAATTCTCACAAAAGGCCAAGGTAAGATTTTTTTTAATTGACTTATGGAGATGTCTTCGTCTGTGTAACGTTTCACCTTTCATTTCGTATTAACATTTTGATCAATTTTCAGTACATAACTGAAACACTGGACATTATGTGTTAACAGTAAATTGCGTTGGTTGTATTCTCTCTTTTGCCCCACATTGATTTTTTTATTTCAGGTTATTATCGACCTGTCAAGAAGACATTTTTTCGTGAAGCTGTACTTGCAAAATTCGCAAAATAGGAGACGAAAACCCCTTTAAGTTTTCAAATTTTATATCGAATCTGCCACCAATAGTAAGTTCGAACTATATTTACTTATAGTAACTTTATCAATATGATCTATCAGTGTAAAGACATTAGAATTGATCTTTGAGGTATGTAGGTAAACATTTTATTAATACCACCTACAAGACATGTTATTAAAACAATTAATAGGTAAAATTGTGTTTCAGTAAGTTTTACAGACTCATTTTTCTACTAAAGACGTGTATTATTTAAAGGTATTGATGAAAATTATGCATATAACCTCTAAATGCCTAGGATGTACCTAATATCATATGTTTCTGTCACACCCAGCTGTTTAGATGTATTATATGCGCAAGGTTAGAATTTGATGAAGCTTTGACATACTTGAGTGATGATTCCAAGAGATTACTCCATTGGATTGAGTATTGTACATTGTCTTGCAGAGATAAGTGGAAATAAACTTTGTATTGTCAACATACTGCTGTGTGAATAGTTAGCTATGTTTACTGAAACATGTTAATCAAATGAAACATTAACTTAGTCATGCCAATATGAAATAAGACCTACAGATTGTTTAAATCCCATAGTTACCATATAATCCAGTCATTTCGCCCAATTACATTGATAAAACATGTCTAAAAACTTGAAATTGAAATTAAACAATGAGGTTTTTATTCTGTGATTAAACATCCTATTAATATCCTATAAGATATATAAAATCTCGTTAGTAAACTATCTAATTGTATCTGTTTCACCTAGTTCTGTCATATTCTATTAATATCTGTTGGCTGTGTAGAATCTTATTTTGTATCAATGCAACCACCAGTGTGATAGATAACATCGTTCTAAATATTTATTACTCAAGGACAGAAACTATATTTTATAGTGTAACAACAACACACTCCTAATTACTTCAAGAAGTAACTAGGCAGAAGTGAATGACTTACTAATATTATAAATGTGGAAGCTTGTATGTTTGTTACTCAATTACAACAAAACGGCTAATGGAATCAGGACGAAATTTGGAGGTAGATTAAGGTATGAAACACGTAAGCTTTTTATCTCACAGGAATGTGAGCAGTGCTGTTGGCAGAAGCTAGTATTAAATGAAATATAACATAGTTCTTGGTCTAAAGTAATAGCCAATGGTCAAACTTCATAACTTTCTTAACTATCCATGCCGTAGTTGAGTTAAGCCCTCCTTTACATACATCATATTGCATTCTAATAAGTTGTATATCTTCCGAGAACAAACCAAGTACATGATCAAACAAGTTTGCACATGAAGCATAATTGTTTTTGTTTGAGACACTTATTTCCTTTTTGATAGTTGGATATCATTGTGATAAGGCCATGATTAGTGTAACCGTGTAAGGAGATATAATTAATTGTTAAACCTTAAAGAATTTTGTACTTTCAACTTCTTAGTTTTCAAGAATAATGACCTATTTTCACTATGGAATTTAAACTCAAGTAAAAAAACATATACACTACATAAAATAATGCTTAATCACCTTTTATCTTGTGTTTTGGCATTGTAATATTGTTTATCAAGCAATAAGACTAGTTGGCTGATGTATGTACTAACATATCTTACTCAGCAACTTGATTGAATTAACTATCTGTGATATTATTCATTTAAGTGGGATTAGTTGATTTAGAAATATGTATTTAAATTAAAATAGTTCTCACAGTTATCATTTTGCTCATCCTTAGTTTAAAACATAATAATAATTATGTTCATTTATTAGGAACTGGCTACTTCTGTGCGGTTTACGCATTCTGCTTGGCTCCTATTGATCGTATGTTGATGTTTTATACCCTATAGCATTCCTCAATAAATGGACTATCCAACACAAAAAGAATGATTCAAATTGGACCAATAGTTCCAGAGATTAGTGCATTCGAAGAAACAAACTCTTGAGCTTTATGCAATAGTATAGGATTAAGATCAGGGTGTCTAATATGAACCCTATACAAAATAACATTAGATCTTAGCACCTGTTTCACCACCTTCATATGAGTTATGTGACAGATAGTTCATACAAATTACACTCTTAATTCGGGTTTATCTGGTACACATATCCAGTCAATGTTAAACAGATCCTTAAGAAATCCTTTTTACTGCCCAATCAACTGGTTTTGACATTTGACATTATAATAACATCCAATAAAATTACTTGATAACCTAAAGATTAGGTACTAATATTGAATAATTATACTTTGACTGAAGCATATCCTTCTTTTTGATTATTGATAAGTATGTAGATTAATTGTACAGTATTATTTATTATCATAAATGCTATGCTAATTGAGCTTAGATATGCCAAGTGTAATAAATATGTAATTCTATAAATGGCAATGGTTTCCTCAAAATAATTAAGATTCTTATAATTGTATTGTCCAGTTCTTTTCTTAAGGTTGTGATATATTCCAATGTATTTCATATGTTTAGGTTATATGAATTTACACATCAATAAATGTATACAACTGTCAAAGAAAACAATGCTTAGATATTGTAAATGTATTACTTATTGTGGTTATACATAATATTATGTGCTGCCTGTACTATATTATGTACATTGTGAAGTTTAAGTTAAAATACAAAGCATAACCTTTTTAAATTAAAAACACATAACTACCTCTTGCAAGGAACTTCTAGCATCCCTGTGGAATAAAAAGTAGCCTATGGGGTAATCCAGACCATAATGTACTCCTGTTACTTTCATCCACACTCCTTTAACTGTTACAATGTGATTCAGTAACAAACATAGACATAAACTTTAACATTTGTAGTATTAGTAAGATTAAAAATAACTATGATCCTAATTAGCTCAGAATAAAGACTAGTTTAGTATAAATTATCTAATTTATGTGTCAAGCAGCATATGATAATGGGTTGAGGTGTACTGTCCTGTTGTTTGTTGTTTTCAAACAAGTAGTCAGCACAAGGTTATCTTTAGCGGTTGTTCTTTGAATACCTTTTACTATATCTACAAACCTGCATACTATTATTGCACCAATGTTTTAGATAGTATACTTAGTATACTTAACAGTTAACTATCAAATCAGATTGCTTTGTTGGTCGCAATCATAATTGCCAAGCAAGAGATCTTAGGTTCAAGTCCTTGTCTGTCTATAGATAAGTGTTGAAGTCAAATCTTCTGCTAACGATGCACATATGCCAAGCATAAGACACTTGAAGGATTATTTTCTAGTTCAGATAGAATTACCAATGTATGCCAGTAGAATCATACTATGTTTCATCGAATGCATAACAATACTGATAAAATGTGGATGTTACCTTTAATATGTGTTTTTCTACCTTCTCTCTTTGAAAATGAAAAGTTAGTAGAAATAGAAGATGAAAATTAAATTACCTAACTCTAAATCTTAAATGCAGGGTGGTAGAGCGATGCCTCGTTGCAGTAAACGTACACGGAGCGGTGCCCCCGCTAATGGGGGCGAAGTCCTATCAGGGGCGACCGCTATTGACGACCATCACCACCACAAGAGATCTAGAAATAGCAGGTAAGATATTGTTCCCGATAATAATTATAAAGAGACATAACACCTTTGAGAATACAACTATTTCACAATAAATTAGATACCTAGAAAAAGAAAATAAGTAGTAATTAGTATCTATAATGATAGTCATCAGTGAAACAAATAAATAGCTGCCTCTAAATGCTATAATAAGGCTCCTAATTTGACTAGTTTTGTGCTATCAAGTACTCTTTACAGTTTAATAACTTAGACATTAATGTGAAACCTTTTTATATTTCAGTTCACGTCGACATTCCAAATCAGAAGACACAAGTTTTAGCGTAAAGAAATGTTTAGCATGGTTTAAAGAATACACAACTGCCTCAGAACCAGATGTATTAGGTGTGTTATGTCATGCTTTGTATTTTAAGGGACTAAAAACTCACAATCACAATACCATAAAGGTTACAATACAATATTAAAATGGGTGAACCTCCGGGGTTATGTAAAAATGTATTGGCATGATGAACCAATTTCATAAATGTATTTTATGAAGTCTTTTTAGCAACAGAAATGTTTTTAAAGAATGTCTTGAATAGATACTAGACACTGCTCCAGTAGAATCTGAATATTTGAACAATAATTACAAGTTCCATTAATGTCGTCCACCAGACACAATTGTGGACTTTTTGCTTATATTGAAAATAAAAGAATATACCAATATTTTTTTTTATCAAATTAGATTGAAATCTAATAATTAATCAATTCTCGTACCTCTAATATAGGACCAGAAGGCATGGAAAAATTCTGCCAAGACATTGGAGTGGACCCCGAGAATGTTGTAATGTTGGTCATAGCATACAAAATGGGAGCAAAACAAATGGGTTTCTTCACACAAGAAGAATGGTTAAAAGGTAACATTGCTATGTAATAAAATGTTTTCTTTATGCTAATTTAGTATTTCTAGGCTAACAAACTTCATTGATTTTTATGTAAATCTTATATAAATAAATGATATCTTTTCTTCTTTATATTTTGTTCTTGTTAATCTTTGCCTGGACTCTTCTTCTAACATAACATAACATAACGTCACGCCTTTTTATCCCCGCAGGGGTAGGTAGAGGTGCACATTACGGCACTTAATGCCACTGTACAATGTAACACCCACTTTTCACTATTTATGTTTTCTCTTCTTCTCTTCTTCTAGTTTCTCCTATTATAGCATTACTGGGTTAAAAGTATTCTATGTAACTATTGTTCCCATTTCATTTAAAGTTATGCTATAGTTTTTACGGGAGTCAGTCACAAACAACAGACTTTTAAACTTATTGCACATTTTGGTAGGATGATAGTAGAAATAAGTATACTACGAATTTTATGATAATTATATCAAGTTATTATTTGTATACTGAAATAAATTTTATACTGTTCCAGGTCTAACAGATCTACAGTGTGACAGTGCGCACAAATTGCAAAACAAACTAGAAAACCTCCGCAGCTTACTCAATGATCCCTATATATTTAAGGCCATCTACCGATATTCTTATGATTTTGCTAGGGTAAGTGATACAAGTATAAGTAATTGTTTTATGTTAATACGGCTTTTTAAACAAATAAAGAACAAAACAAAAAAAAGAAACGAAAAAAAAATTACCAACTATACAAACTTAATCAACCCTAATCTCATTCTCTCCTTGTTTTAACAATTAAATGTAGTTCTCCAAAATGGTTGCTGAGATGCAAACTGATTAAGACAAATTATTTTTTTTATCTTGTCTCTTACACTGACTGTTGATAGCTTTATACCAAACTACACAGAATTAAATTTCCTAATCCCTTCTTACATCAATAAAATTTGACTAAAGACATAGAGATTAACTTGAGAATCATACAATATCCATCCACCGCTGGATAAAGGCCTTTTTATGGTACAATACAAACCAGCCATAACCTCCCATAACCGCTGCAACTCCAGTAACCAGGATCCAACAAATACAATCACGATAAGAATGAAGTTCAATTCATCTCAGGGACGTAAACAACTATCTTGATTAGACAGGCCTTTTTTATGGGACAAGCAAGCCCGCCACAACCTCACAAAACTCCTGCAACTTCTCTAGCCATGGTCTATAGAAGATCCATGAATTCAACATGTTCCAAGGACATGTTTACTTGTCCTGTTAAAATGTCATGCTGCTAGGGACGAATGCTCCTTGCATTAACTATTCAAGTCACTAGATTGTGTTTCTACAACTGTTACGGAATAGTTGTAAATAAGATTGGCATCTGGCATAATTCTATATGAGGTTAGTTTGTAATACTCCAGAAGTAATTCTTCTATAGAATTTCTGGCTTGTCCTTCATTAAAAGAATCTATGTTTATGTTGTAATTAGAAAATAGCTTCAATAAGGCTGAAACTCACAACATTTTTATATGTTGTTTGGCTAGCAAAGGTGCCTTTTTGATCCAATTATGATAAACTAAATGATCTCACTTTGATTAAAAATCTCATTCATGAATATTGTAAAGTTTATGGCAAATCTCTCTTTTGTTCAGAATATAGTCCAGCAGTATCACTGGTGGTCGATTATAAATAATATCATCCAGAAAAAATCATAAGTCTACACCGTTACATGGCTCTTATGTGTCATACTCAGAGACTAACTATAATTACCTTAACTATTCCCTAGTAAAGATTTTGTAAGTACGACTGTAAATGATTGTTGTTGTAACAAAGAGTTAAGAAATAATTTGAAATAAAACCAAATTCTTATAAAAGTTCATAAAATAACATATATTCGACTAGATCAAGCATCACAAATAAATTATGTTGATAACCAGCTTAATCTTTTCTTTGCTGGACCATCTTTCCTTCGCTGGAGTATATTTCCTACGCTGGACTATCTTCCCTCTTAAAGGGGTTGTCAATAAATAGTATAATACAATTTCAAGGCGTGCCGTGTCCATGGTAGACAGTTTGAGGTCAACAAAATTACCTCCCGTGTCGATTGTAGACATTGTGGGCATTATGGGCATTTCGACGAATCCAGCGATTTCTTGGAGGGGTGGGTGGTATGGCTATCGGAATACTGGCTTCCCTAGGCCTGTAATCCCAAGGTAGGGGTATCACCGGTGGCAGATCTATCTCGAGCTTTTCGGCCTTTCGTCGATTTGAAATTTTTTCTGCAAATTTCCGCCTTCGACGCGCCTTACCAATTTCTTCTCGTATTTTCCTGAAACAAAAACCAATTGCCACTTTAGTTTCACTGTATAATATCGAGTCGATTTTAGATAGTAATTTGTTTGTTTTGCATTTGCAAGCACGTGCTAATACTTACAAAAAGAAAACAAAGAAAGAGTTACACGTCGCAAATCATTTAACAATGAACGAAACATTTTCTACTCAATTCAATACTTTCTTTTGCAACTAAATGAATGAAAACACTCACCTATAAAAATAATTGTTCAGGATCCATATGTATATGTTTTGAGCCATTTTATACCTACTTAAAGGACGTAACTACGTTTGTTTACGGTGTTGTTTGGGGTCTGAGAAGCGAATGCGGAATGCCAAACTGGAGATGGGACCATAGACCGTAGATACATACTTTATCGACTAGTTATGTGTGTATTCGAATTCTTATATCGAGTTTTCAGCTAGATATTCATACTTTTTCGTCTTTTCAAATTATTGGTTTGAATAATAAAAAAAAATATATTTATTTAGTTTAGCTAAATGCGATAAATTGTGTATTAATGTGATTAATTCTTATTTTTAAATTATATCTCTGTTGACTATTTTAATGGCTTGCTAGCTTACCCAAATTTAAATAACATAAAATATTTAGTTAAATTGTGCGCAAATAAGTCGAAGTATGTAATTTTTGTTTCATTATGATAACTTCAATTTGTATAATATATATTATCTGATTGTCACGGGACGATATAGTCACCAAGCTGCAAAGTCTTTCCATATTAATTCCATCCAATTCATATAGAAACACAAATGTTTTCTCTTTATAAGATTGGTTTAGAACTTTGTATGATCAGTGTTTACCGCCCATTTTTTTTTAAATGTACCAATATCAATTTTGTTCAAAATTGTCTCAATTTATCGATATCGAGTCGTGTTTTGTCCGTAGTTGGTACAACACTAAGCGAAACGTCAAAAATTGATGCTTTTAACAAAAATGGCGTGTCTAAAACAGATGTTTTTTTTTTTCTAAAATAGAGCGAGAGAGAGAGAGAGCAATAGATGAATGTCGCGATACTTAGGCCAAAATGGTTGTGGAACATTTATCAATGACGACATAATATTTTAATTCTCGATGGGGTAAATATGACTAGGTACTATACTGTAACACTTTTATACCAATTATGGTTGAGTCCCATGTGGTAGGGATAAATGATGTCTTACCTGTCTCGAATGTTTGCAAACAAACTATGAAGGTAAAACAGTACATTTATGGCAAAAGAATAGAAGCACAGGCAAGTGCCATTTGGTACCACCAGATGGAGTGGTTGCTTTACAAACATTTCGTGTCGATTTTTTGCTTAAGTATAGTCAAATGGTTTTGATGTTGATGGATGTCCATCAGCTGATCCGTTATCTCGTTTCTACCCCTATTTCATCTTCTATAATAATAAAAAAATTAATCGCCAAATTTGTTGCTAAGCGCTAATCTCTAGACCGATTTCGCTAATGCTTTTTTTTTTGGGTTTGTTATTGATAGGAGAAAAATGTTCAAGGAACAGACTTCGCTGGGTCCACTGGTAAGAAATATATTGTTTCGTAGAACAATAACGTTTTTGGTTGCCCATAATGAACAAATTGTTTTCAAAGGTTTTAAGCTTTTACTACCTGTACCTCTTACAATTGTTCTAGAACAATTTAGAGCTTACCCATAGCTTGTAATAATTCGTGGTAACCTTCCTTCTTCCACCCATTATACTTCCACTTTACCTGACTTGACTTTTACTGAACTTTGAGTTCAATAAATAATTGGTTTGCAAAACAAACGGTTTATAAAAGTTTACATAATAGTATAATTTATTGACAAAAACACATTTTTACAAAAACTTAAAAATAGGAACATTATTATTGTGAGGCGGAAAATTTCCCTCGTACAAAGAGGTGACCACTGATACCCACGCTGGGCGGCTTAGGTTCAGCAATATTCCCGGTGTCTGTATACACTCTGAAGCTTCCAATGACGTTGTGATCGTGGTATGTCTATTGGGTCGCTGGGTTGCTTCGGCCTATAATCCCAACCCATTGGTATTACAGCTGGCAAGGTTTCAGGTCTCTCGGCACTGCGCCTGTTTTCCAATATTTTTTCAAAGCGCCGCTTTCGACGAACTCTGCTAATCTCATCTTGAATTTTCCTGAAACACAAAGCAATCACAGTTTTAATATGATTGAAGAAATAATACCCGTTAACAATTAAAAAAATACCACAGGGCAAATTACTAGTGCTTAATGCTGACTCGCGATAATTCGAGTCCACTGCGCTGATTTTTAGCTCTAGCCAGTGTGTTGTATATCTAATTTTGATGATAATTTACAAATACATGTTAACTAAACATATTTAATACGTTAAACGCCATGGGGGTCACCGGTGACCGGCGTTAGCGGAGGATTTACCTTCAACAGTTTTTTATTGGCAGTCAAAGTCTTAAATATATTTTATTGAAAACATTCATACTTAACAAACTTTTATGTAAATTAAAATAAATAAATAATAATGAAACACTCACCTCCCAATAAAACAGCCAATAACTTGTATAGCTGTGCTTAATATATTTTGAGTCACACCTCCAGCTACTAATGGCTGAGCCGGCAGTATAGGTTTTAATAACCAGGTACTAAAGTTAAAACTTTTTCTCGACATTCTCGAATTCTCTCAGAAAGCCTTCACAAGTTCCAAATTTCTTGTATCCTTTTAAACTCCTATATTTCAAATTACTAAACAAATGATTTGTTTGCACAGCGACTGTGAATCTAATGATATGTCTACCGAGTCTTTTCCAAACTTGTGCTCTATGCACTCCCTATTACTCCTATTTTGGCCTACTACTCGATTTAGGACTTAAACGATTTATTCAAATCAATCTTAAATCGATTTAATCGATTTACTTATATCGATATCGATTTATGTCAAAGTTAAAGCATTAATCTTTAATATCTATAAGTTCTCTGCAATTTCTTTAAATACTTTATAAATCGATTTCAGTCCATATTTATACCAATTCTACCACATTGTTTTTAATAGAATTTAATGTAATGATCATTATACTTCATTATGAATTGTTTACTTTATTTTACTTGTTCAACTCGATTTATTTGAACTGAGTTCGGCACTCTGATTGGCCGGCGCCAATGAACCAACCAATCAGAGCGCCGAATGCGTACTCGTTACTATTACTTTAAACGTAAATTAAAGTCGTACTTTTTTTTAAGGGGGGAAAATCATCGAATGACTGGGCGAGGCGGGAGGGAGTGTCAGACTCTTACTGACTAAAAACCACCCCGTTCCTTCTCCTGCACATCGAGCCGGAGCCCCGGTTACCCGTTAGGTTAAATTAAACTCGTACTAAGGCCTCTGGAATTGACACAAGTCGGGAACACGCCAATAACCACGAAGCACAAAAATTTTAACTTGACTAACAATGTTTAAAATGGATTTATCTAAAAGATTTTTGGAATGTCGAAATCGCGCTTTGAGGCGTTAAACCTTTGTGAATTAAATAGTATACTTACTTATTATTTTTCAATTATCTAATTTACTTGTGTGCCTATTACAAAATATTAAATAATCGTCTAATGACTAATTAACAAGTTAAATATTATTTCTTAAGTTCTGTCTATTACAAAATCTAATGATGAAAGTATGATTGATAGCTCTATAAGTTTATACATAATAAATTAAAAATGAACAGAAAACTTAATAATACTTTATCCAACCCGTAGACCTCACTCATAGTTCATATTCTCAGGGCTTCTCCTGCTGCCCTTGCCCGCTAGACCTTAGTCTGGCTAGGCTAGACTCTTAGTATTTTATAATTTCCTTTGACTATAAAAGCTGTTATTATGAATTTTGCATTAAAATTGTATTTCATTTGTTCTCAGGATAAAGACCAGCGGTCATTGGAGACAGGAACAGCTCGCGCACTGCTAGGTGTTTTACTCCCTCGCTGGGCGCTCCGGCCGGCGCTGTCCGACTTCCTAGCTCGGGAGCGTCGCTACCGGGTCGTCAACCGCGACCAATGGTGCAACATACTGGAGTTCAGTCGCACTGTCGATACACAGCTCAACTCATACGATGCTGACGGAGCCTGTTAGTATGCAACTTATTTTTAAGATTTTATACTAATTATCATCATCATACCAGGCATAAGACCTCTACTGCAGAACATAGACCTCCCCCAATAATTTCATTGAAGTCATTATACATATTGTCTGAGCTAAAATCTCAACAACTGATGGCTGGTTAACCCAAGATAGTATATTATAAGATGCATAAGTTAATTATGTTTCAAAGAATGCCATAAGACCTGTATGTACTACATGGGGTGACAACTACATAAGAAATATTTTCTTGACAGACCGAATGAATCGTATGGTTCATGGGAAAGTGTTCAATAACTGACTGACAGACTACCGCTGGACCATTAGCATCCTCTGATTAAAAGATTTAGCCATAATCTCTTCATTTGAAGATATCTTGGCAATCCTAGGTTCTGTCAAATTTATAGTTCTTTAGTATGGCTCTTAGGACACTAGCGGGAAGAGCATGTCGATGACAAAAGATGCATTCTACTTCTCTTTCATCAGACATGACATTGGTCTTAACAGTTTGTTTATGATGTTTCAGGGCCGGTAATGCTAGATGAATTCGTGGAGTGGTTGCGGGCGGAGCGCGCCGGTGACGCCGCCATGCCGGCCGCCAGCTGAGGCCGCGTCGCCCGCACTGCCGCCGTGTCGTGAGAGGGACCCGCCAGGCCGCTACAAATGAAGTGCTAACACACTCAACAAACTCATACTTCCTTCCAGTCACCTCATTAGATCATGTCGGGTCATAAATATCTTCATTTCTCCCCATAAAATGATTATTATCACCCTACAAAATCAAATAGTTTGGCCACCTTAGCACTCCATTTGTACTCTTGTCCGTGGATAATGGGAAAGACATTGTTTCTAACAATGTGGATAGATTTTATTATGAATTGGTCAATATAAGGAAAGTGGAAAAGACTTGATTAGATATGAAGGGCTATATCAATGGTATGTTAGATCTAAGTTAGGGAATGTGTGTGCTCTCTCACAACACAATGGTAAGTCCTATAATATTGTTACTCTGGTTATGTAGACATGACATTGTTGTCCGTTAGAGACAGGAATTCAGTTTTATTTATTTACCATTTTTCTTTTATACATCTTCATTTCTCTGTAATCATATCGATGAATGTGATTAGAACAAGCACAAGAGTTAGGAACTCTTAATTATTGTAACAACTTCATATTCTTTGGTATTAACATCTATGATTATGGCTCAAGGTAATTGATCTGACATAGAGAGTGAATGAGTATAAAATCTTCAATTACACATTTAGTGTCATGTCTACATATCTTTTAGGATTAAAATATTGCGAGATGTTCCCAAACTGTACTGTGTTATTTAACAATTAACAAGCTCACTCGCTGATTTCCTTGAATACTTGAGCCATAAGGGTCTGTAATGTAATTTATTAACAGTTAAACAGGGCAATTAATTATTACGTGATTAATTTATATTGCGGGCGTTAGTTGCGACTCTCCAAGCATTCTATTTGATGGAAACAGTGTGTATAAAGATTTATAGAATAGAGAATAAACTCTTGTCTTGCTTCTTAACTCTACAGTCACATCCACACTCATTTTTCATTGTTATAATGTTGCGGAACCACAACGACTATTTAATTTCATTTTGACTACGCTAGTATAGAAGGCGCTCCGCCATTCATGCCAAAATGTAGTGATGAGTGAACATTTCAATGTGTATGAGCCATTAATATTTTTATTCATATCATGCGAGCTGTTTCGGGTATTTTGTCGAGAGAATGATGTAAACTAATTTGTAACGACTTTTGTAAAGAATAAAACAAGGCGGTATTGTTTGTACACAATATTTTTTGTTTTCTTTTTTAGTAGAACAATTATCGCTTAACGCGCCCCTAGTACTATATTTTTAAAAAGCATACTGCACATTTTCCATTGCCATTATTTCACAATTTTTGTAAATATTGGTTGGCCACATGAGGAGCTTGATACATCAATGGTCAGTACATTATATTGTATTTTGTATGTATTATTTGTCCAATTAACTTGGTAGACATAAGTTTACGTGTATATTTTTAGCATTTATTTTAGATGTATGTATATTATGATTTTGCAATGCTCCTCTCATACAAGTATATATTTAAAAAATAAAATATGCAATCTCATACATCAAAATCTGCTGACACATGTTGAATATATTAATTTGCCCACCGATCTTTATTATTATGTTTGCAATAAAACAGTACAACAACATGAAAATACTTTGTTTTGAACAGGATGTGTATATTTATTTTTAAGCAATACTTGGTGGGACTAGCCGTAGCATATTGCAATTCAATGAAATGCTTCGATTGTCTGGTATCTGCTTCAGATGGCCTTTCGACTGATTTTGAACACAATGCATAGGGTAACTAAACTGAATGTGTTTGTGCGATACACATATCTTGCGTGTTTCTTTAAGCATTCAGAAAATAAAGAGGACTGGACCTCGAAGGCAAAGTGTCTGCTATTTCGAAATAAAAAATGAAATGATACTGTTATGCTTTAAATGTTTCTGGAAATTATAAGACAAATAGTGTATGTTATGATACTACATGGATATTACACCTATTTACTTCTTGTTCCAATCATTGGATATTTGAGAATAACATAGACTTTGTTTTATGGCATCTATTTTACTGATTAGCATTATTGATCATAACTTTTCCAAAATGATGGATTGTATGCTTTGAGTCCAAATGTTAATACTTTATAGAACTAACTATTGTGTCTAGAAAACCTTATTAAATGTTATTATAAACATAAACACGCAAGATATGCTATCACACATTCACACAAAACTGAAATAGAGTAAATCCAATATACACCATAACTTTAGACTGGACTACTGAGGCCACTTCAAATCATGTTCCAATAGACTAGCTCTGTGTCTAGTCTAACACTAGATTTAGGTGTAGATATCGTTTTTATATAAGACATGTAGGTAGCATATTCAAATTATCTGATTATAAGTAAATGGTTTCTCTGTAAAATACCGTGTATTCAAAATTTATCGCAAATCGTTTAGGCCAATGTACCGGAACTTATTACATGAGGAATAAATAAAAACATTTGAAAGTGAATTGTGTTTTGTTTACCATTGATTTTCTTTGTAACTTGTAATATTGCTATTATTAAACGAATTTGATTAATTATTTTGTAGTTTTTGTTAATTTATTGCTAAAATTATTTTTTGTTATTACTTTCGTAAGACATGCTAAGTTAATTATTTATTATTTTTCTGGACACGTACATAAGTGCTTGACGAGGAACTCGACTAGTTTCACGCCTCTTATTCATGAACACCATTCTCAGGCGACTGTCAGTAGCTGACCGCCGAATAGGTAGTGTTCATAAGACACAAGCCTGTTAGTATGCAACTTATTGTTAAGATTTTATAATGATTATCATCATTATACCAGGCATAAGACCTCCACTCCAGAACATAGACCTCCCCCGATAATTTCATTGAAGTCATTATACTTATTGTCTGAGCTAAAATCTCAACTGATGGCATGTTAACCCAAGATAGTATATTATAAGATGCTTAAGTTCATTATGTTTCAAAGAATGCCATAAGACCTGTAAGTATGTACTACATGAGGTGACTTAGTAGTCACTTATGTAGTCATAACAAATATTTTCTTGACAGACTGATGAATCATATGATTCATGGGAAAGTGTTCAATATCAATTATCAGTGTCTTAGTTTTCTGCTACCAAATGTACACTATTAATGACACAAGATTACTTCTGTATCATAATTTTAGGAGAGTAATAAAGAAAAACAGGTTTTCATTATAAAACTATGTTCTATTTCTATTTACAATATCTGTCAGCTTTCATCTTACTCCTACGATCTAGCAATGTTTCATGCAGGTTGCCTTCTGTCTTTGCTTTCTTCAGCTCTGAGATGCTCCCGTCATTCAACCTCAGTTTCTTGTCTTGGAATTTTTGGAACTTCTTGCTGGAAAATTAAATAACAATTTTAGGAAATTATTGTCAGGTTCTAGCTGTTTCCACTATTTTCTTGTTTCATCTTCATAAAATATCATAATTTTAATTTATGTTGGTTAAAAACTAGTTAGACTTTTAACATGAACCCTCAAACATTACACCCATTTTTTGAACAGTCATATTTAAATAGTATAAAATGGGCAGAGGTAGTTATTTATCGTATTTTGTTATAATGTATGTACATTTCAATATTAAATGAGTACTTACACATAATTAACTTCAACTTGTGATAAATCAGCCTGTTCTTCATCAGGCAGTATGGACTTGTTGACCTCCTTGGTCTTATTGCTGCGGATGGTACAAAACTCGTTGGCACCAGCCGAAGTAGTGCGAGCCACCACTGCATCATCTTCAGGGTCCACTGACATAAACTTGTTTAGGGAACTCAGGATTGCTGTTTTACCTGTACAAGAAGACACTTTTAAAATTTTCAAGCATTAAAATGATTAAGAGCAAAAGATGTCACTATAAATGTGGTCTTATTAGTGATTTTAATCTATTAGCATTACAATGCTCAAGCCAAAGTATTTTACACGTTTCTATATCACTCACCTTCCTGCCACACAGGCTCCCACTGTTCCATAGCTCCAACAGCATCAGACCTTCCAACAACCGAATCTTTGGCTACTCCCAAATACTTCCCATAGCCAGATTTCAAAGCAAACTTGTTCTCTCCAGCTGGAAACGCAGTGAATATCTCTTCTGGAGAAGGACCTTCACCATCTCCATGTGGAGCTCCGAGGGTAAAAAGCCCGTTGTCCAAAGCTGACACATAAGAATTATTGCCGAACTCTATAGATATGGAGCCAGTTATGTCTTCAATTTTATCAACCTTCCACCAACCACCATGCTTCATGGAGTCCTCGTCTACTTTTGAATCTTCTGAGTTTTCTTTCCTCTTGTGTTTGCGTTTCTTTGCCCTGTCAAAACAATTAGATAGATTCTAATCTAGTGGTACAGTATTCAGTGGAGTATACAGCAAGAAGTATTGCTAAGAATTAAATGATTGATTATAATTAACAAATCAATAAATAATGATAATAATTAACATGCAAATCGAAATACGTATCTAAACCTAAAACGAATGGCAGTTAATATTGATGCAACAGTATTTGATGAGTTCTTATTTAGCCATATAGGTTAAGTATAAAAGGTAAATTATAATTTTGAGTTTCACTTACTTCGGCTTATCTCCTTTAAGTATTAGTTTTCCACGTTTAACTGCAGCATATTCGTCAGCCATAATGATATTTAGTTTAAATCAATGAGGTTTATACATTAAAATATATTATTTTGAGGATAATTAGTTTTAAGTTGAGCTATTTTAAGATCCTACTAATCCTAGTATTTTCAAAAAGATATCACAGAATTAAATATCTACGTGATGAGTAACGTAGACTATTCTCAAAAACTCGAACAACACAACGAAATAAGGGTCAATCAAACAAATGTTTATTCATTTCCAAAATAACGCTGTGTGCCCAATATTTTGATTGTTGAGAGTAGTGATGTCATATGTCATTCCAATCCATAGAGAATAATTTTTGGGATGTCAGTCATTCTCATTGAATGTCAACGACGTTAACACCTAGAGTCCATTTCACGAAAGAAGTCCCGCGGACAATTGTGGAACTAAATTTGACAAATGGGGAGTTCGGCCATGTTGTCGTTTGTCGATGTTGTCAAGGTGGGTTTGTTGTGGTGAGTTTATTATTAAATTAGTGCATTATAAGGTTTATTTACGATGCCAAAAGATGTAAAAAGTGCAGGTCGAGAAATGATATTAAAATTGAAAGAGTTCTGTGAAGCGGAACAAAAGAATCGCAGCATTTTAATACCATTAGACAATGTTCGCAAAAGAGTTGCCGCCATAACAGGTAAATTTTGGGGCTGCCATATTAAACATATTTTTTACCAATTAGACTTAAGTTTTTTTAATGAGGAATTAACATAACACAACAAAAATTTGTAAAATTGTATTCAACAATAATATAATTAAATGCGGAAAAAGTCAACGATATTTCTACAGTTTTAAAAGTTACATCCCTAGTTCTATCCGCCATTACAGGTGACCAAGTGAAGTTTATGTAGGCACAATTTTTTCCTAGTTGTTTCTTATCCGTATTCTTATCATATCAGTGCTATAGACACTATAATCATAGACATGATAATATTTGACATAGAGAATAATATGACGTGTCATGGAGATATCTTTTGGGGTTTTGGGCAGTATTCGTTTAAAAAAGTCAAACATAGAATTTATTTGATTTTGTCACCTTTAGATTGTTACTAATATCTACATACGACTAATTAATAGTTACTGCGGTGACTAATTTTTTTTTTTCATATGAGTCTAATGAAAAGCCCTAAAAATTTTTTTTGTTCCTGAACGCAAGCTTCAACTCATGCCACTTTTCCATAGACAACGATATTCTGCGCACGCCATTTTGTAATTTTGAGCATGTTGATTCGACTCTCGAAATGAATTTCATTTCAATAATAAGTTTTATTGGTGATGTAGTGTAATAAATGTAATAGTGAAAGAAGCAAATAAGCCAAAATGGAAATGCCAGAAGTTAAATCGTTCAACGCGGAGGTATACTTATTACTTGGTTTTTGTATCACACAAAATGTTCCGTGGCATTTTATTAACAAAATTTTTCTTACAGTTATCCGCGTTGTACGACAACAAGCCGCCTATTTCAAAGGCGAAGATGAGTGCTATCACGAGAGGTGCTATAAAGGCTATAAAGTTCTATAAACATGTAGTGCACAGTGTTGAAAAGTTCATTCAGAAATGCAAGCCAGAGTATAAAGTGCCTGGGCTTTACGTGATAGATTCAATAGTGAGACAGTCCCGGCATCAGTTCGGGCAAGATAAGGATGTGTTCGCGCCGCGGTTTGCGAAGAACATGCAACAAACCTTTGCAAACCTCTTCAGATGTCCTCCTGAGGATAAGGTTAGTTACATAAAATGAATGTTTTAGGTTATAATTCGCTCCTCTCTTATCTATGTATCTAGCAAATTCTTATTGAAAATGAATTTGCTATTCTGCCTTATTCTACACTATGTTTATATGCTATTTCGGGGAGAATCTCCCTTGGAAAAACCCTATTTGAATAAAGATACATTACTAATAGTTAAAATTGCAAATCATATATTGTATGATTGGTAGTTTGTATTGTCAAACAAAACAAAACTTGACCGTACAATTTGTGTCATGGTATTAAAACATAGCTTAAATTCATTTTAATAAACTCACTAGTAATATTATATTTGATAACAATCCTTTAAAAAATTGTTATGTTGTTTTTCAGCGGAACATCATCAGAGTACTTAATTTATGGCAAAAGAACAATGTATTCAGTCCACAAGTTATACAACCTCTTCTTGACATGGCTGATCCTAATCACCCGTTGCATCAAGAGATACAACAACAACAAAATAACACTGCTAATGGTAAATATCATATTTAATTATTTTTTTCACAGCTTATGTGAGTTACGAATGGCAGTTGAAAAATCAATAAGCCAATCTAATTATATTTCTGGATTGGTTTATGTTTCTGACTGAAATGCAAAAGAACTATTATTAAAAATTCATCTCCATCCAAAGATTTGTAACTGAGAATATTGAGCTTCATTAATTTTGGAGATATTTAAAAAAAAATCACTGGTGAAATAACTGAAGGGTTTTATTATTAGTGGATCCCACCTGTTAAACTTGTTGAATGTTTCATTACATAGTCTCACTAAAATACTTTATTGTTTTGCTAAGCAATTTTAGACTTTGTGGACAATTGAATAAAATTGGTATTGCAAAATTTCAGGGAGCAGTCTGAACATAAGTCACAATGCAACAGATAACAAAATATCTCCTGTGCCACAACCACTTCATACTCCACAGTCTTCCACACCCATGGGAGATCAGGTAATGTATTTTATTCATTAGAGAATGAGGTTCATTTTCAAATGACAGAGCACACAAACTGTAAATTCTAAAAAGGCAGCAATAAGATAAAAGATATTAAAAAAATGCTCAAAGAGTTTGATGTCAAAATATTCATCTCTCAATTGCTATATCTATAAACATTCCAAGCTGACAGCCTTGCCACATTGGCAATACCAACATTTACTATTGTTAAAAATTAAACTGTCAATTAGCATTCTCCATAACTCTCGATAAATCAACTTTATCACTAATTGACCTCTTTGAACTGTACAATCATAAAAAGAGGTTGAACATGATTTCCAACCTGTTACATTATTGTACAACATTACAAATATTAAAAAAAGATATGACTCGATTAAAAGTAATGTTTACTTTGTTATCTTTAGATTTTTTTTTATCTGCTTGTAATTGGTTCATTGGGGAAAATGATTTAATACCTGATTGCTTGATAATGATATGGTAGTAATCACTAATGTAGTAATCATTGCTAATTACTAAATGAATGACATATTTGCAAGTGCAAGTATAATTAATAGGTTTCTTAGAACAAAATAAACTAAATTAGGCATGTAATTAATTCTAATTGACTGTTTCTTTTTCCTGTAATCATGATCTAAATAATATACAATAGAAACAACAATGTAAGACTGTTTCTTGCAACAAAGTGTTTTACAGTGTATGACTATAACAAATGAAAATAATAATAATTTCTTGCTTATCACAGTAACTTATGGCTAAACTACAATATGTATAAACATACTACAATGTTTTAAAATTATAACTGTGACACAATGAGTGCCTTAAAAATCTAATAGGAAATACCAACTCGAATTAGATACTCATTTTAATCAAAAAAAGGGTCTCTCTTGTCCTATGGGTGGGTGCATTTATTTACACTCACACTCTAGCCTGTTGAAAATTGTTGAAAATCATCCCCTAAATTTGTTCATACAAAATTAGTCTCTAAACATTGGAAATAAGGTCTATAATGTAGTTTGTGGCAAGCAGTCACCCGTGACTGTTTGGGGATATACGGGCTAGACAACAATTTGTTTCATAATTATAATATTCTTTTCAAACAGTTTCAGGACCAACCTTCGAGTCAGCCGGCGAAGTTCAACAGGAAGTTGTTGAATGACTTCGAGTATGAGAGCGAGGACGAGGCGGCGCCGGAGCCCGCGCCCCAGCACTCCTCGCACTCCACACATACCTCGCACTCCACACACGCCACGCATTCTACTACCCATGCGCAACAAAACCCCGCTGATGCTTTGGGCAGGTAAATACTATATTACTTACCCTTTAAACTATACCCATCACAAAATCTACCTATCAGTAAGTTCAAGACTACCTTGGAGTTTGTGACTCGTTTTTCCCAATTGTAATATACAATCAATTGATAGAGGTGCATTTAATAAGTGTAACACCCACTTTTTGCCAGTTATGAGTCCCCAATAATGATAATCTAACCTAAAACATCTTTCTAGGTGTTGCATATAGTTTTTGATGCACTAACTCCACCATGATAAGTAATTCAAAATTGTGTTCATACAATTATAAACAAAATCTTTCTAATGTTTCAGTATCCTAACAAATCCTGAAATCATGAGGCAGCTGCAGAGTTTGCAGGCTCAAATGCAGATGATGACTGGAATGCAGATACCTGTAAGTACTACTTTAAAAACCATTGCATGAACAAATTGCATGAGAATGAGCATTGCGCGATACATACTATCTCCACACAGGCCTGTTGGTCAGCGTCTAGTGCCTAGTGATTCACCTAGTGACTAGGTTGCTAAGATACATGGTGGCCGAATTAAGGCAACCTTTCTTTTAAAAATCTAACCTCAGTATGTTGTAATCGAACTTCATGTACATCAGCCGCTGGGCAATGCTTTGTTAATATTTCATGCATTTTTTCTTCTAACTTGCCTCGCGCTTGGTGACTAGCTAAGCTCCAAGCGCGCAATGCGGCCGGTCTCGATCATTCTAGAGCGTTTGTTTTACTATGCTGCTCGCTAGGTGACTCACTAAGCTCTGGGCACCAAGCAAGCCAACTGCCTGTGCAGATGTAACCTTACTATCAAATCGCTTCACTCTAGAAACATATGACATACTAAATACTTAAGACAAATGCTCATAGCCAACAGATACTAGAAGGAACTAATAAATTAATTGGAAAAAGGGCCCAAAAATAATGTTTAAGAACTAACAGTCAACTCGTTTGATTGTTTTAGAATCTGATGCCTATGATGTCTGATCTCCAAATGCAACAATCTCAAAATCAAGGCCTGCCATTTATGGTAAGATTTCTTTTATAAAGGTTTCATTCCTTTCCCCCTTCATCGCCTGTTTCGATTGTTATTTGCATTAGAATGCCTTGCTATACAAATATCATATGGTTCTAGTAGAATTTCAACTTTATCAATTGGTAAGTTCAAAATCTATTAAAGTTTTACATTGTTTACAAGTTGTATACTTGGCAACCTATTTTTACTATATCTTTAACCCGTCGTGTCGTGTTCCTAAACCCGGATCCACTCGACGTGCACGCGAGATACTAAATTCTATTTT